CTCTCTCCTTTCCTTTATTAAGACCAGAGGACAAGCGTTATAACGGAGGTTCCCAGCTCAAATGCCCAGCCGCTGAGCCCGTAGGGTCTAGCTGTAGCAAGGCTGTCTGAACTTGATGCATGCATTTTTATTTGCTCTCAGAGGTGCGTCTGATGGCCAAACAAGCCCTTAAGAGCTGTAAAGGGTGCTAGTTGTCGCAACACAGGAAGGCTTCGGTCCGCTCCCACATAGAGCTGGCTTACAGCAATTGTTGCAACGAGGAGTGTTGCAGCTCACGGCACGCTTCTGCGAACCTGGGCCAGCCTCAGGCCCTTCTATCACTGTGCCCAGAGCGCCTTGAGACTTGGGGGAAAACCAGCTGCATTTCGGGGACTTGTCTCGCAAGCCCTTTGACAGTACTGCAGCTCATGACGCACACTTGCTAATACCGATGACCGCCATTACATTGGCGAAGTAGCCTATCTCTAGTCCGAGCCTGGTAAGCCGTAGTTGTATCGTATTGTCTGACGAGTTCACTAACTAGAGGATTGTCGGCGTGAAGTTGCTCTATGCTTTTCCAATTGCGGGCAGGCTAGCTACTGAGAGCCAAGCATGCGCACAGAATTTCTTGGTCGAGAGTGTTAGCGCATACAGAAAAGTGGTATGCATTTGGGGTTGCCTTGCAGCGCGAGTTGCAGCAGGGCAGGGCAGGTGCGAGGAAAGAGCCCCAATGCCACAGCAAGATGGATGTGTTCGCAGCAGTGATTAATAGAAGGAAATCGAAAGAAAAAGACATCGATATTTTCTAAAATTGCTATTACACACTCAGCTCCCTTCTCCTGTCGCAGAACGTAGAGAAAGGCAGCCGGCAACAGGCTGGGCTGCGGAGAAGGTACCCCAGGGTGAAACAGGTATAGTCCTTGGAAGTGCGGGCAGGTGCACTCTTTCATTGCTCCCAAGTGTAGCGCCTCCGGTGCACTTTGAAGACGAAACCACAAATCAAACTTACCAAGGAACTCACTCGCGCCCTCCGCATTACTTATCTTGGGTGGTTACTTCCAGCCGAAAGAGATGCAAATACTACACGCACCTCAAAGCTGCGAACCTGCGAAGCTTTACTCACTTACAGACCGTAGTGTAGAACCTGATCAATCGCCACTGTGAGGGACGAGAGAGCGGCTAAGTTTTCGATCAACCTTATGAGGAAATGTTTCAGGTTTTTTTTCGATTCTTCCCGTTAACCACTATTATACACAGGGCCGTGTTGCTGTTGAGGCGAGGCTCGTTGTTCCCACCTGCGCTGATGAACCATATGGCTCTCGAATGTGTAACTAGAGTAATGGAGCTTATTCGAGGACAATCGCAAGTTGCTATCGGGTCAAAGTATTTCAGCAAATTTAGAAAGCAAACGACTGTAGACAATTGTTGAACACACACTTGGCCCTCCGTATCCCGTCTAATTTCAAACTGAGATACATATAACAGCTTCGCACAGACTATATGATACGTGCGCTGGAGATCCGCGCTTTATATGTGCTTCCCCCGCATTGATTTCTTGCGACTAAACTTTAGCTAGGCCTTTACATTTTACACGTTTGTAAACGTTTAATGGCTTCGAATCCCATTTAATCTAGTAATCATGCACTCAACCCGTATTGATTATAGCGAAAACTACAGGGAGGCCCGTTGCGTGGTTCAGTGGTGGGAGATGTCGTGCGGCTTTAGTCGTGTTTATCATATTGGTGAGTAAATATTCAAGTTCCAGAAACCGAAAAGAGTAAACAATAATTATAATGGGGAACAATAGCTTATATAATAGCACATGCATTGCATGCGTTAGCGTGGCTGAAAAGCCCTCGGCTGCTGCTCCCCACATGGAAGCCGCTGACCGCACCCCTCCTTTGATTGCCGCCTGCATGCCTGGTTGTGGGTTTTGAACTGGGGTTTTCGGCACATCTTCTCGTCAGCAGATTCCGAGCTTATTTCTCTATTTTTTTGCTCTGGGGTGCCGGTATTGTTGTGTGGGTGGGCAGCGGAGAGGATGCCAACAAAGCGCAGAAACGCCGGCCGTGCCAAACACGGCAGAGGCCATGTCAACCCCGTCCGCTGCAGCAACTGCGGCCGTTCGTGCCCAAAGGACAAGGCCATTAAGCGTTTCAACGTCCGCAACATCGTCGATGCATCTTCCTTGAGAGATCTTAGGGAGGCCTCCGCATACCACAGTACGTGACGNTCCGCAACATCGTCGATGCATCTTCCTTGAGAGATCTTAGGGAGGCCTCCGCATACCACAGTACGTGACGCCACGAGTTCACCAGCAGAACCCAGAACCCCCACACCGGGCTAGGCAGTGTTCTTATGCTGTCAACCTTTCTTTTTTATTTAATAATGCTCGATGCTTCAGCCCGAATAAGTGTGGTCTAGAGCTCTGGCTCATCGCAGCCAGCATTCTGGTCCGTCTCGGTGGCACAGCAGCATCAAGCCCTGTTGTTGCGATTTGCTTCAAATGCTCCGATTGCGTAATGCCCCCGCAGTTTATGCTTAAGCAGATGCACAAATATTAGCTTCCCTGATCTATGCTTGCGCCGTAACTTTCCCTGGCATTCCCGACGGAAGCAGCTCCCATGCCGTCAGCTCACGAGCATTGTGTCTTCATCGTTGTTGCTTGGTTTGCTAGCTGCAAACGAAACTTTTGCTGAAGGCTTTCCTGGTTTATCGGCCTCTCGGGATTGCATGCGTTTCTAGCAAGGGACTGAAGGAACACAGCCTGGCTCACCCTTTGCTGGGCGCCTTCAGCCATCTTTCAACTGTGTTGTCATCTGTGTGTCTTCTCAGCCTACAACCTACCAAAATTGTATATCAAGCACTCGTACTGCGTCTCCTGCGCCCTTCACTCCAGCGTCGTCCGCGTGCGCTNCCAAAATTGTATATCAAGCACTCGTACTGCGTCTCCTGCGCCCTTCACTCCAGCGTCGTCCGCGTGCGCTCTCGGGAGAACCGCAGGATCAGGGCCAACCCACGTGCCCGGATCCATGGTCATGGCGGCAACATGGGAGGCAACCGCAACTGAAAGCCCTTATAGTTGCAAGCCTTATAGGTAGTGTAGAGCATGTGCTGATGGGGGGGCTTCTTCGATCGGGGCTTTCGCTGGCGCGCATGCCGCGGGTACTCCTTGCGAGTGCCACTGCACTGAGACGTCGTCGACGTTAACGCGGTTTCTTTTGGAGTGACTGCAATTGAACCGGCTTCTAAAAGATGCCCCGGAAGGAGACTAAACAGAGAACAAACAGCCTGTATGTAGTATATATAGTGTAGTCACGTTGGCGTCTACCGCTAGCCACGAGGAGGCTCGAAGTACATGAGAGTTTGCCGTGCAGGCATGAGTAGAGATCCCCTTGTAGCAGTTTTACTCTGCCAGGAGTATTCCCGCTCGAGGGAGAGGCAAACTGGATTGGCAAACCAACCAGCCGACGTATGGTAGTGCACATAAGTAGTGAAGTAACCAGTGAGGAGTCATGCCAGTGAACATGACATAGTGGAATCCTAAGGGTTACATACAATCGATAAGGCGGAGTAGGTGGGAAACTGAGGCGAGGTTTCGCATCGAACGCACGAGGTAATTCGTGTCAACATTAGCCGTATTTCCTTCGCTTGGAGGGCTAGTCGGCTTCTAGAGGGATGTTGCCGTAGCAGGATGTGTCATAGATCGGTAGNTCCTTCGCTTGGAGGGCTAGTCGGCTTCTAGAGGGATGTTGCCGTAGCAGGATGTGTCATAGATCGGTAGGTGCATCCATACTTATGTGCTTATTGGGTACGGGAGGCTGATCAAGTCCCTAACAATTGAATTCGGTGTTACTGCATGCATCACAAGGGCGCTTGTGTATGCTTGTGTACGTGCAAGCTGCCGCTTGGCTGGAGCTGCGGGAAACAGTGCTACAGCTCAGGGAAGTCCATCTCATCTACCAAACAGCTGAGGGCTCCTGCGCAGCTGCAGGTGCACTCAGGGCCCCTGTAGACAGACGGGTAGTTCAAACACTTATTTGGAAATATTTGTTACACGAAGCTCTGTGGCTCTACTGCAGCACACCAGAGTGTTGCCTATTTGTTACACCTGGCACCAACGCATGGCTAGGCTTTGTTAGTTTCACTTACACAAGAAGAGAAGAGGCTTCGCTTCTTTCGTTAGAGCTACCGGCTTGTACTGCTTTCTGCCCAGCTATGCCATTCCTTATGAATCTCACGTCGATTGGTAAGGGCATAGGTAGCGTTTGAAACGCAGTGGAGGAACATTAAATAGAGAATAAGCAAAACAAAATTTTGGTTTGTTGCTGGCTTGGTGTTATACTTGGTCGGTTTCACCCCGAAGTTTCCCTGAGGTTCCCTTGAGTTCGTTCAGTCGTTGGCGATCATCGCCGCCACACCCTCCGTTTCTTCACGTTTCCCTCTTTTCTCCTACCCTTCTGAGGTATTTATTCAAAACTACACGAAATAACTATTTGAAATAATTCATTTGGGGGGTTCTCCACTTCTTTGTTGATTACTTACACCTGGATTCCTGTCGCCGGATGGCAACGGCACCCAAGGACAACCGTGTGGGACTCGTTTCCCTTGTCTAGACCGAACTTTGCAGAATTTCAAATACAACTTTGGTCTTATTTGCCTCATCCTTGGCGTTTTCTCCTCTCCTCCTCTTCCGCCTGCTCCGCTCGATTACGAAGGCGCCCAGGTGTCTGTCTGCTTGCTTCACCGCGACTGAGAATGTGGTTGGCAGCATAGCATGGGCACTAGGGCCCTTTAACAGGAACCAGAAGCATGTGCTACCCATGTAATGAGGCGGTTGCTCGTGTTTCTCACAACGAGTAATGGATTTCTGAACCTGCAACCCGTCCTCGAATCCGCCGCACGAACGCGACATAATTCGTCTTGGACTGCAGTGGAGGAGTAGTCAAGATGGAGTGTANCGAATCCGCCGCACGAACGCGACATAATTCGTCTTGGACTGCAGTGGAGGAGTAGTCAAGATGGAGTGTATGTCTGCTCCTCCTGTTGACACTGCCTTATATGCCTTCGACGAAGAGGCACACAATCGCCTTCTGCACTCTCTACAACAGCATCACCAAAGGCTACGTCTCAATCCACAATGCTGCACTATTCAGAGTCCTGTGACCTTTACTGACGTCTGGGTATCAGATGTGGCATTGACAAAGATGATGGCCCATGCAGAAAGGGGGGGCAGAATAGAAGTCATGGGGCTCTTACTCGGCAAAGCTGTAGTGACACCCGAAGCTTGCGATGCTGGGCCGCGGGGTGAAGCCGGCGTTTCGATACATTACGAAAGTGTGTCTTCTGTTTCTGAGGCAGAGGGGGAAATAGAAGGACAACAGGATGCTCAAACGGGTTACTTTGTTGTGACAGACTGCTTCGCGTTGCCTGTGGAGGGCACAGAGACTCGGGTGAATGCCGCAGAAGAGGCAAACGAATTCATGATTCAATATCTAGAAGCAGCAGAGAAAGTACCGATGCAGCAGAAAGTAGTGGGGTGGTACCATTCCCACCCTAACTACGGGTGCTGGCTCTCAGGGATTGACGTGCGCACGCAGCACCTGCAACAGCAGCACCAGGACCCCTTTCTGGCAATTGTTGTGAGACAAAGAACGCGTATCTGTCCCTTTTTAGCTTAAAACTTCAGAGGGCAGTTATAGGAAGGCAACTCAAGAGGGCATAAGGGGTAGAGAAAGTACACACATGCAGTGGCTTTGGCGGTGAGTTACAAGCATAAGAATGCAAATGATAGAAAGCTGTATTTTCGGGTGTATGCGCAGGTAGACCCAATCCGAACGATAAGCAACAGATCCATCGAGGTGCTGAACTTTCACTTTTCCACATTTCAAACAAATTTCGGAAAGGCTACGGGGGAGAGGCTTTTTGTCTCTCCTTTTGACAGGGACCTACCTCTCCCTACTTACTCTGTTGCCGCTGCATCTATTTCTCTTTAACGGGTTTCTGAACTTCGTGCCGCATACTTGATATCCCCGCTCGCTTGGCTCTTGCGACTTCTTATGTGCTGCTCACCTGGCTGCTGTTGGTTGTTGTCTCTCAGTCGTCCGCCGATGTCTGCTCTGCTGTGCTTCTCTTCTGCTTTCCATGCGTGTTTTGTGCGTTCTAAGCAAATTGTTACTCTTTATTGCACAACGCTGTCTTGTATCTGTAGCTGCACGCCCTGTATGCATTTCTCGTCTCTTGTAGTTTTGTGTGTTTGCGTTGCTATTGGTTGAGAGTGCATCCACAAGCCCAGGTGCAAGGACCAAACACAATCGAGACAAATAAAAAATAACAGAAATTGCATCGTTGAGTGCAGTTTTGACTCCATTTCTTCTTGCGCGGCATCGCACCTTCCATTCTACTTGTACAGAAAGCTCTCGAATGTTTCTATACTGCTGTTTGCAGTTGGGGGCGTTCAGAACTTTTATGCCTGGAGAGGCAAAGAGGGAAGATGAGGGAGATGCTGAGGCGGCTTCATCGCAGTTGTTGCCTGCAGAAAAGGTGAACGACTTCGGCGCCCACTGGAAACAGTGAGAAACCCTCCTCACAGGCAGCGATGACTGCCAGTTGCTTTAGGCAGACGTTGCTCCACTGTCCAACGATATATGGCAGTACACGCTTTTCATCACCAGCCACACGAATGTAGAAGGAAATGTACCGCAAAGCATAGAAATTAAACTCGTTGCAAGGGAACACAAAATACTGCATAAGTTCTAGGGATTGTGGTAGTAGATCCAGCGGGTTCGTTCCTTTGTGATGCATCTGTGTCCTATACGTGTCTCTTGCTGTAAGTTCGGATTTCTGTTGTTGCAGATATTATCAGCTGCGTGTCCACTGGTGCTCCAACTCTGTCAGTGCGAGACTGTTGGAGGGGATGGGTAGAGCTTCATGGCCCCAACTGATTGTGGGCCAAAGCCTCCACCGGGTGGGCCAGCTGCTCGCTCACATGAAGCCAGTGCTCGCAGAAGCTTGATGAGAGCTCCTCTCTTATGCAGAGGCACCAAGCTGAGTGCAGCAAAACAGCAGCATCTGCCACAGCAGGCTCTGCTATATGGCTTTCAATTCATTGTTAGCACAATCTGTGCATTCTCTGTTTTCCTTTCTGAATACAGAACCGGTCTCTGGAGCTCCGCCGGTTAGAAGCTGTCGTTGAGTCTTGCAATAACGCCATCAGTGCTGCTGAACGCAGGTAAAGGGTGAATGCAATCACATACACGGTCGTGCACAACCCTGTACACAAAACACCGAGTGGGTGTTTTGGCTTCATCCAACATCCATCCGTACAGAAGAAGGGTTACATGCAGTTCGAGCACATGACTTGGGATTTCAAACCAGTCCTTATAAAGTATTTAATTTGTGTATGTATGCTGTCACCTCGGCATCGTGAAAGCATCCATAGTTATCATGTTACTGTCGTTTTTTGTGCTCTTCGTTACTGTTCAGTCAGCCCCTGGCCATGGGAAGCGCCAGCGGCCAAGAGGTGAGGGAGCAGTCTGACCTTAGTGACGGTACCTTCACTGCCGAATATTCGGAGGAATCGGAATTAGGCGCTGCGAGGGGGAAAGGTCTGTGTGAAAAGCTCGTCTGCACTGCAGAGAAAGCTGCAGATATCGCAGTGCGAGCGCTTGGAGGGCTGGTTGAAGTTGCGGCGCTGGTGGGTCTCCAGCCCTTGTGTTACTGAGATATATGCAAGTGCCTTTGCACATGCATACACCCTGGCGGGTATACTGGTGCACACAAGCACTCAACGTTGCTGCCTTTCCGCCAGCCAAATGGGATCCCCAAGACAACAGCGAATACTCAAGAGGTGTGGATGCGTGCAGCACAGCGATTCCTTTGTATGTTTTTAACTTGGTTTTGTGTCTTCCTGTGCAGAGTGCCGTCTACAGCGACAACCTTACATGGCGTGAGCATGTCCTTGCGTCTCAGCAACCAGATGGGGCATTCAGTTCGGAAACACAGCCCTAAAGACACACACTGCGGTGCAGCCGCAGTGGCCTCTACCCAGCAGTTTATCTCTTTTCCCTCGGCGTGAGGCTCTGCCTTTGCTTCTCTGGAGCAGCGTACCCGCTACTGGCAAACATCCTCTGCAGCTCGTCACCTGCTCCCCTAACCCATCACTAATGAAGCAAGCGAATGCCGCTGTAACTTTCATTTGTGAACTATGCTCTCAAAAAGCCAATAAAGCATTTGGAACTATGGGCTTGCTGTTTAGCGTATGTATGTCCAGCTGCACTAAGCCGAGACGGCTATCTAACGCTACAGAATGCGAATGCGCCACGTGTCATGATTTATCTCAATTAACAAAGAAGACAAATAAAAGCGGATCGGCACTGTAACGCCGGCCTCCGAGAAAATATGCGGGTTTGTTTCTCAAGCCAAACCTGCAATAGGATGGTTTAAACTGACTGTATTGGCGGAGCGCTGTTCATTGGGAGGCTCTAAATGGCGCCAAACCATAGAAACCAGCATATATCACTTTATGCATGCACCCATTTACCACGGTGGGTCTCGACACCATACGGTCACTCACGTTTACGCACCCATCTACTGGGTTGCACTTCTGAAAATGCCGATGAAACTCATCTTCCTCCGTTAACAAAACTGTCCTCATCACGACCACAGCCCGAGGAGCTACCCAGAACAGGCATGCACAGATCGGCATATCCCTGACGAGCCAGAACGAGTGAAAAACAGCGATACTGACAGAAGCACCAACATCCTCAGAACAGCTACATTCACAAAACTGCAGTGGATAACTGCCCCTGTCTGCAAGCACCCCAAGCCTTTTGCAGTGTGCGCGCACTCGCTAACTGCAAGAGCATTTGAGAGGAGTGACGCACACAAAGACATTATGACTCAAGCGACGTTAAAAAACATGATGTTCACAAACAACAATCTGAACATGAATGGCCACCCACACCACGAAAGTGTCCCCCAACCCATTGCCGACGTTCCCTGCATCTCTGCTGCATCTCCCTTCCCTAGCTGGTATGCATTTTGCTGTTCGCCCGGTTGTTTGTATCCCGTTGAACTGCCTAGGCGTTCAAGTTCGTGGAAAGATGCCCGGGTAAACAACGCGGCCGGGTTCATCGATCGTGCGACGTCTTGCCAGAACTCTGAGCAACCCATCCACTTGGCAATTTGGCTTCAGCAATGAACTCTGGGATAGAATTCAGATGCGTTGTTTGTACCTTCCCTTGTCGCTTGGATTCCATTCGTTTTGAACGGGCCAACTCCAGCGTTGACAGATTCCCCGCATCCCATCCTAGGCTCACATCTGTTGGGGCCCCCCTCACGGGGGTGCTCCCCATACGTTTGGTCGGCTTTACCTCGTCAGATTCGAAGTACGGGCTATCGCCTGTCTCAACTGAAGGACGGAATGATGAGGACCTGCTGAACTCCCCAGGATGACCACCAGTCATCTCCTGTTTCGACTGGAATGTAGGGGGCGATGGGCTGCAGAAGCAGTCTATCCACCAAGGCATGCTCACATGCTTCCGCAGAACTAAGCATCCCAATAAACCTAAAAAGAATAACGTCACCGCGCCAACGGCAACGCCTATCACCCAACCAGGGTACCCCTCCTCTCGATGGACGTAGTCGCCTGCTACGGTTGCCTGCAAACCCAAGCAAAAGCATCAACAGAAACGTTGGTGAGAACATTACGGGTATGACACTACATACACGACCAATAAATACGCACACATGCATACACAGGTCAGCACAGAACATCAGAACACGTAAGTGCACAGAGAATAACACAACAGATGGAAGCCACAGCACCAGAACGTCCTCATCTGCGCTCTCTTCAAGCTGACTGCCATTTGCCAACCCCATTCCACGCAGCCTACACCCCTGTGTGCAGCTAAGTGCGATCGGCACCCGTGGGTGGTTCTCACCTCTGGCGGTTTAACGGGCTCCAAGAAGATGACGTTGATTGTGCCTCTAGTTCTGCTCTTGAACCGTTTATATATTTCCTCAGCTGTCGCCTCGGCTTCTCTCCTCCCGATGTCGTTACGAAGGCCAAGGACAAGAACGTGGACAACAAATCCGTGCCGTTGTATCAACTGATCAATTAGGGCTTGCTCGCTGTATGCTAACCCACTACCAAACTTGCCCATGCGGATAGGTTTCGCGGATCCAACTTTCATTGCATATCCCATCACCCGCACCCTATCCATGCGTACGTGACGAGGAGTTGCATATGTCAGCGGTTGGACAAGAATGGCTCCCATGAACAATTCATGAAACGAAGCGGCGTCTTTGAAGTGCTCTGACGGCACCTGGAGCAGCAGATGGAGGTCCGGGTCGTACCTTGAATTACCCCCAACCGCTATCTCAGCATATTGGAGGTCATTAAAGGTTGAATACACCACCTCTGCCAAGCCCACGCCCGGCAACGAAGGGTCATCCTCCAGTCTCTGTTTGAACATGCTGGCAGCTTTCAACGCAGAGATGAAGGCTGTGTCCGATTTCTGTGCAGTTATTGGATCCGCAACACTCAGCTGCACGTACATCTCATTAGCGTTCAGGTTCTGATTCAGGGCAGTGACCACTGATTCCGAAATTTCACTGCCGAATTCACCCCTCTCTACCACCGCCGTGGGGCCTCCGCTGCCTCTGGCGCGGTAAGCCGTGACGAGTACATCTGGGAACTGCGCTTGCAGCACTTCTTCGGAGCAAAGCCAATTGGATTCAATTAAAAGTGCCATGCGGATGAGGACTTGTCGAACGCTTTCAAGGATAGACTTTTTCAGTGCCTGCTCAAATTTATCTAGCTGCTCTTGCAGAGAAGGGTCATCTTCGCTCTTGTCGCGCAGCTGCACCAGCAGATCCTCCACCACCAGACGACTCAACTTCAATATCAATATGCCCCCCATCGGCCGGTCTGTTACTTGCGTATTTGTCAGTGCAAGAAGCATCACCGAAGTTGTCGCTGATCTTTGTTCTTGTCGAAAGCTTCTCTCCCATATGCTCATCCAGTTAGGTACCGACAAAACTGCAAAGTGTAACCCACACAACAACAGCAGGCGCTACGTCGAAACCAGATGCGTCCACAAATGTAACATTCTGCCTCTTCATTCACTTTTGGTCTTCACAGCGGCGGGCCACAAGAATGCACTTGCACAAACAACGCGTGTATATGCATAGAAAACCGCACATATCCATTAAAATGTGCATGCAAACGATAAAACGCCACGCTCCAAAAGCTTCTATTCAAGCTAGTTCAACTTGCTGCGCTTGCACTGCCAGACGAAGACAAGTAGAGCCCCACTGGCAGCACTGAGATGCATGCTAGCCGTCGTTGCGTCGGCTTACTGTTAGAATAGGAGTAGAGGACATGCAGCTCGGAGACCTGATGGTAGACGTAGCCAATGGTGGTCATGCTCTCATCCAAACTCCATTTGAGGTCTGGAATGAACTTAAGCATTTCAGCCAGATGAGGATCCGCCTTCTTTTCTTGTTTCACAAACGCGTTGAAAGATTCGTAGTCTGTAACCTCTACCAGCCGAGGCAACTGAGACAACATACATACGTCACAACAAGTACACAGCACCACGGTCAAAAACCAAACTGCAGTCACTTACTCCAAGGAAAGAAACAATCGTAAACCCCCAATGCCTGGCGCATGCAATACTATCAAGTAGGACGACACTTTCCATCTGCTATACGAGAGCATAAAATACAGGAACAGACTGAACCGTGCAGCCCCCCAGGCCTCCAAAAATGTTGGTAGNAAACATCCTCGTCTTAACCCATCACCCGATCCGAAATGAAGATTTGTTTGTGCTTACATCCTCTTCAATTATTCCCTGAAACCCGCATTCCTTCGCCCTTTTGACGAATCTTGCAATCTTCTGGTTTGCATCATCGAGCTCACTGAGCGCAACGGACTTGGCGAGTACAACTTTAAAGAAGTTTGAAGTCATAGGAGGTTTCCAGTGTTTGCTTCGGGTGTACATGGGCCAATATAATGCACTCAGAAACAAAACCAGAAACTGACGACGCCAAACCAAATCCGTCTTGAGCCGTCGGCAGTAAGAAGAATATAATATTGCGAGAGTCGCACTCAGTTCGTGCGGCGCAGCTGCAGCAAACGCAAACACAATACCATAGTTTCTACTGCCACACCAACTACCACGACCACAGAGAAAACTCAATCAAGGCTGAAGCATCCTGTTCGTGTTCCTGGGATGTTGCTGCTACTCCTGCTGACGATGATGCTGCTGCTGCCGACAGCTACGATGCTGCTGCTGCTGCTGACAGGTAAAATGAAGCTGTGGCATTGACCGCCAGATATATACACAAATTAATACCCCATATGCAGACGGACCCCGACGAAGGTCCGTTTGGTCTGCTGCTGCTACTCTCCGTCACACAAGACTCATGTAAAGAACCTCAGTTATCTGGCATTCCTATGTGTTTGCTATCATTCTTATTTCTGTATAAATACTGTTGCTGCAGTTCATACTGCACGCTGACTGTGCAACTCGCATGCATTTTGATTGACTGCAATTAAAGCCTTACTCATCACAGGCACAGGCTTTCCCACTTCGTTGTTTGTGGGGAGCTCGTCAGGCAAAGACCCCGTCGGTAGTTGTGAAAAAAAGTCATCCGAAAAATCAAACCAGGGCCCCGATTGGTGCTCCCCCCCAACCCGCTGCATGCATGCACGCATGCACACAAGAAAACAGAAAGCAAAACATTGAAAACTTCTCCCACACGAATTCACCCAGAAGAGACAAACAAGTCACGTCAACAGGCAGAAACGACACAACCGTTGGAATGACAGAGCAGCTAGAGAGAAGAGAAAAATAAAAACGGGGCAGGAACAATGCATGTTCATACACTCCGAAACGATGGAAAAGGCAGCAAAATGCTAAGAAAGTGTATTAGACAACTTCAGGCACACAAACAAAAGGGGAGAAAAAACAGCAAGAACAGAGGAACTGCCACATGCAGCGCTCCCCTAGAACAGCGCTTTCACTGCTCATGCATTGAATTTCTTGAACACGGCTATTAGATAAATCAGGACCGCAATGCATAGTTAAACTGCCTCACCTCAGCCACGGATTGTGCAGATAGCACCGCCAGAGGGCCCTCAAAAAGAAATAAAAACGCAAGGATTAGCGCCACGAGCGCACAACAGGAAGTGCCTGTTATGCGGCGTACAAAATGCCGACAACCCCAACTACCACCTGATGGTGCTGCTGTTATTCTTCCTGTTGCAGCTCCCTGAGACGGATGGGGCCGCCTTGACGCAGCAGCAGCAGCAGCAGCAGCAGCAGCAGCAGCTGACGCTCCACCGGCGACGCAACCTCCCCTGATGCCATTCCTGCTGCTTCCGGTATGGTCAGGGAGGCCGTTGAAATCTTGCAGCTTTCCGTATGCTGCATGCATTGCTATACATTCTGATGAATGACAACTAACGACGTTTTTTGAAGCTGTTGACACAGCGGTTCTGCTGCGCACAACACCAGCGGCTCTTTCGCCGCAAGACTCTCTCATCTTGGACAGGCAGAAAGGAGTAAGCTGCCCCGCCAGATAAACGTCAAGCCCCCTACAAATGGAGAATCCAAGGAGGCATCCCGGAAGAGGACCAAGGGCGGTGCGAAAGCTGGTTCAGTGTTGCAACCCAACCAAGGGTTTCAGGCGGTCTGTTTGGTGTCCAAGATGATGGCTCAGGGCCTTCCTGCTGTATGATGCTAACCAAAGCAACAGCGGTATACTATTTATAGAGCAGGAGCAGAAAAGACGTCAGAGTTCCACAGTGTCTCGCGGGAGGAAGACCACCTCCTCTGGGTTCCTAATGCAGTGAGTGAGCCGGGGCCGTATGAAAGGGCCCCCAACGGAGAAACCAGGCGGTTTATGAGCTGCAGACAAGAAACCTTGTTCTTGTTTTGTAGATAAAAGCGCTATAACAAAGAGCTCCCCTCGGAGCAAAGGCAGCTTCCCACGGAGTCGCCCCGCCGCACGACGGGCGGGAGGTCCGTGACTCGTTGCTTCTGGAAGCTCCTTCAATAGTCTAAGAAAAGATGAAGGAATTCTGAGATAACTGAAAGGAATGCATGCATATTTATCGCATTATGAGCCAGACATTCACCTAACAGCGAAGCACAATCGAAAAGTCTCAGCCACCACCCGTCTGCCATGTTCAGCTTCCATAACCAGCGTAGCAGTGGCTGCTCAGCATATTACGTCTCCTTTATTTGCTCGTCAAGGAGAATTAAATAGAATCAACAAATATTAATTATTATATATCCAAACTATTGCATTATGTTCATAAGAAAATGAAGAAAGCGAGACGATCGTTTCGTTGCAAACTGCACAAGCCACTCATCGTTGTTAGCGTGCAGTCTCGTCTTGCAGCTTCGAGGCAGCAGCCCACACCCCTTTCCTCTTTGTCTGAATCAATAAAANCGTGCAGTCTCGTCTTGCAGCTTCGAGGCAGCAGCCCACACCCCTTTCCTCTTTGTCTGAATCAATAAAATATTAATTAAATAAATGCAAAACTACTTTGCTTACTACAATTCATGATCCCGTGTTCTGAAAGCGTTCTATACCACCCAGATCACCGCACCCGTATGAGGTGGTAGGGTCTGTCCTATCCTATGTTTGGATTATACTTCTATCTGTGTGCGGGCTGTCTACTGAGGACCCAGTAGATGTTTAACAAATATTTAGAGGGTTGTTGCATGCAACGGGGGAAGCCTGAGGCAAAGCATCCTACAGAGAACACCGTAACGCTGTGGATGGCAGGCTCGCCCCCCTCCCCCCCTAGCTGACGAGAGTTGTTTACTGTCGCTAGCAAACCCACATAATTACATAGAAGAGAGAGCCAATTGCACCAGGAAAACAATTCCCAGAGTACAGCAACTGATGCAGACCAACTGGCTCACATAACGCCGTAGCTTGTACTAAGAAAGCGCTAGGCCTTCTTTGCGGAAACACGAAAGCGTGCTCCCTGTAGCTAGCTGAGAGGAGCAGAGTACTGTTGCTGGGGAGTGAGTAGACGAGCTGCTGCTGCGGCCAAAGTACAGCGCAGCTTTCCCCCTAGAGCAATGCATGTTTCTCCTCAACTGTCGCGCGGGTTCGAATCCCACTGGCGAGTACTACTGAGATCTATGTCAATATAAATATTCTGTTGGCGTTGAGGTTGAAGGACTGATACATAAACCACCGCAGTTCTTGCCGAAGGAAAGAAACCCAACAACACTTACCCTCAATTTATTTCTCTGTTTTTCTCTGAAGCTCTGCAAGTGAATTCATGTTTCATTTGACACATAAGTTGAGGTGTACATACACTCGGGGTGCACGCTGTCGTTAGTGTGAAGGACGCTAGCCAGTAACAAAGTGTCTACCTTACTATAAAACATGTATTCGTTGGCCCCTACGCCTCTCACCATTGCCAGCAGCAACAACAGCACGCGCAGCAGCAACAGCAGCAAAAGTAGCAGCAGAAGTAGCATTCCTCAGACTACCAACAAGAGCACTGTTTGCATCAGCAGCAA